TTGAATTTCTGAATCAAAACTTACTTTTCACCCACATTTCTACTCAAAACCACCCTTGATAATTGTGTTTATTGTTTAATTACGGATTCTTGAGTCTATCTTTCATTTTGGTGTAGAAACAACTAATTGCGTCGGTAAGAAAGTCGAAAACCTTAAGCTGTATGCCATTCTAAGATTTTAGGTTATCTAGCTCGTTTCATCTTTGGAATTAATTGTAATGCTTTGACCAATCTGGCAACTTTGTGGGTGTGTTATCTGAAAACCCTCACGAGACACAACTCGTCCTTTGGGGGTACCCAGGGGTTCAAAGGCTTGTTGCATACGCTAAATGCAATCGTGATTCCCTACGTTAGTGGCCTAGGTTTAGTTTTTCTTTCGTTTGTCGTTTTTGTTTTTGTGTCGTAGTTTTGTTTTGATTTACTCGGGACGAGTAAAGATCTAAGTTTGAGGGTGTTTTTTTTCCAGCGGCTGTTCGTCGGAAATCCAGTTAGCTGACTCAACATTAGTTAACATATCATATTTTTTTTTTACATTTTTCCGGTTGTGGGTCGTCTGTGCTCCGATTACTTGACTTGCATTAGCAGACTACGTATTACCTGACTTCAACATTAGCTGACTTCCAACTTCTTTTTCTTTTGACTTTTTTTTTCCCGGCAACTGGACGTCAAAGTTCTGATTAGCTAATGTTGCAGTACTTGAATATTTTGCATTAGCTAACATCCGACCATTCTTAAAAAATACACTAACTCTTTTTTTTCGGGTGGGTATTTAGGGCTCTGATTAGCTGGCACCCGACAGTTCTAATGTTAGAGTCAGCTAATCGTAGCTCCCACAATCAGCCATCGGAGGAAAAAAAAATTGAGTGTCAACTAATTTTGAAGTTAACTAATGTTGAGTGCGCTAGTTAACCGGAGATCTGATGACCAGTGTTAAAGTTAACTAATGTTGAAGTTAAGTAATGTTGAGTCAGGTGGCCGAAGCTCTTAGCCACCACCAGAAAAAAAATTAAAAGAAAAAAAAAATGGATTGGTTAGAGTTAACTAATGTTGAGTCAGCTAACTGGCACTCCGACGAAAAAAAAATGACCTTGTCAGACCGGTCTGGTGGCCGTATGGGATGGGATGGGGTGGGTTGGGTTTATCTCACATAGAATTATGTACGCAGGGGCGGAACTAGGATGAAACGTAGGGGACAAGTAAAATTTCGCCGGAAAAAAAATTAGGTTCACAAGACATTGCAAAAATAAGTTTATATTGATAATTTTAATTAAACTAGCATGAAAAAAAAATCTAAATTAATCCAAATTATTCTAATAATGTATTGCACTTAATATTTTGGGAATTCATGGCATCGTCTCATATTAGTTATAGAGTCATTGATAAAAAAAAAATCAAAAATAATTAAATATTCATAAGCTTTATTTAAAATAATACAAGTTTTAACCATTTAATTTTATATTTTTATATTAAATATGATAATATATGTATCATTTATACAAGATTACGGAAAAATAATTAAAAAAACAAAATTAAGGATTAAGGCACGTACTGTATATACAAAATCTTTGGGGGGGAAAGTAATATTCAAAAAATACAATGCCCGAATACCTAAAAAAAAATTAATCTTGGGGGGTCAATAGCCCCCTCCCGTCCCTTATATGTTAAGCCATTGTATGTAGGGCTATTTTGGAAATTTATATTTTTGTGAATTTATTTAAAATATAAGTTAAAGAATGAGCCTATTTGTAGTGAAACTTAGATTCGTGGGTCTATGTCAAATTCAGCCAAGAAAAATAATGCGTTCTCTCCTACATAAATTTCTCAAATAAGAGTGCGATCTTGCTATTTTTTTATTAAAATAGTGTAAAAGAAATTCGTATTATAATTGTTATTATTATATATATTAAATAAAACATTTTTCACATTTTAAAAATGTTATTCCTTACATTACGTATAGAGAAATACTTAGTTACTAAGAAATAGAAATATGATTAATGTTATAGCCAAACTCGTGTATACCCTATGCCCGCCCATATTAAATGATTCAATGCTACAACAAGATTTTGCTTTCATGACAAATAAGTAGCACTGTCTATAGTCTATATTGCATCTCAAATCTTATATCTACTTATTCAATTTTCACAGGTTACCCACTCTCAAATCAGAGTCGTCCACGTGTCCTAATTATAAATATACATCATAGACAAAAGATCTCTCCACAACTTCAATCGCTTTCACTCACCCAATTACTAGTCCAGCAAATATCTAACTCCATGCAGTTAAGGCACATTCATTCTCTCTTTCACACATACAGCTTTATTCGATATAAAATATAAATTTATTTATCTTTCTCTCTCTAAAATCTTTGATGTCTCAAATGAATTTTTATTCGACATTCAAAATTGAATACTAATATTAAAATAGTGATGCAAATTTATTATTTTGCAATATAGTAAAAATATAAATACCCATCAAAAAATACACACTTTCTCATCCTAATTTACTAACTCACTCGATAAAATAATGTTTAAATACAAATTGCACCCCATGTACTATCACAAGTGTCGTATATACCTCTTATATTATAAAATGCGACAAAGTAGCCCCTGTCGTTAAGCTATGTTAAAGACTCCGTCCATTTTCAAAATTGAACGACCATTTCAATAGATGTTGGACAATTTTGAATGAAAATACCACTATGGTATAACTTGATAGTTGATAACGAAGTAGCTTAAGGATTTTTTTGCCATAATTTTTTTTTTTTTTGGTGATAAAAAATATAATTTTTAAATATGTTGCGAGAAGTATTTTTATTTTTGCACTTTATAGTTTCAAAATGATTGATGAATAAAAAAATTGATTTAGTATTTGTCATCCTAAAAAAATACCACTAAAAATTATTAAATTACCTTTATTAGGTTTAAAAATTTCTTTTGGGTGCATTATGTATGATTTGTTGTGTTTTAAGGATGCAAAGTACTGTTAATTTATTTCGAGGGTGCAAAGTGCCAAAATAGTACATTTCAAGGGTGTAAAGTGGAATTAAGCCCTAATTTTATTTTCCACAATCTAACTACTTCACCCGAATTTTCTGGAAAACAAATATATTCTGAAAATTATTTATAGTTTCTTTTCTTTTTAAATTTACGAAATTTCCACAATTTTGTTCCCAACCAAAAAATATCACCCAATACTTATTTATGATTGTCTTTTATTCTAGATGATATTTTTAAATTCTTTTTAAATTTTTGAAATTTTATAATTTAATTTTCAGCCCAAAATTATTGATTTAAAATTCTTCACGTAATTATAATTCTCAAAATTCATGCATTTCATTGTTTACGTCCAAACACTATATATCATATTTTTCTAAAATCACTTATCAATGCAACCTAAGTATTACTTATTAAAGTAAAACAAAATGGCCAAATAATCATATAAATGTAAGGATAAAAATGTAATTACAGTATATAAAAATAACGGTATTTGAGATTTGAGGGCTGGCCGCTAAGTTCAGGAATCACTTTATCGCATTTTGTAGTACATGACATTATATGCGACATTGGTGATAGTATATGAATGCAATTTTTTTTAACCCAATAATATATGGGGAAATTAGCTAGATGTCCCTAAAAATTATTCTCTATAGCTATAAGGACATGCGATTTTGCCATTTTGCTAAAGCACCATGTGTGCTCTACCTCTAATTGAGTCACCAACGAAAACTAAAAGTAACGGTGACGTGGTGATTTGCACAACTTAGGTGAACATCTTAATTCTTAGTTATATTAATAAGCAGCAACTAAGTTACAATACAGTGAAGAAAAAACTAAAATAAGAATAGATGTTTCGTACAATATGCACACAACTTACACAGATATCTTACTTATGAAAGACTTTTATTTAACTTTATGCGGAAAACCTTAATCACAGAATCTTGAAATCAAATTCATCTTAAGAACATAAGCACATAATTAGGATTATCGACATACCGTTCGCCATGGATTTAGATAGAGACGATGAGCAATCTACAAGCCGAGCCGAGCCAGGCCTCCTTCGAATCTCCTTGTGAGAACCTTACTCGTAGCACACCTTCTTCTAGCTCTCTAATATCACAACTCACTAAGTATTTCTGTAATTGATGGAATTCTCAATTTGCGTCTGATGGTTGAGGAGAAGAGTTGTGGATGCTTTTATAGACGAGAGAAGAGGGCCACGATTCTTTGTAACGGCAGAAGAGAAATAATCCCACACATCATGGTCTTTTATTGTCTTATTACCATAAATCACCTTAATACCATAATTTGAATGACCCACAATTTAATTAATTATATTAAAGATTAGTGGACCAAAAAATAAAACGTTAAAAAACCGTAAAACTAACAAGTTACACTACTTAGACAGCTTAATTATTTGCATAATTTAGTTACACAACTTAGTTAAATATACTCAGAAAAAAAAAATTCTCTGGTGCGTACATCATCATCAACATTACGTCACCGTCACCATCATCATTACCAAAAAAATATTCAATTTTTTTTCGGTTTGATTTCCATGATTATTAGATTACATAATGAGTGTAACCCAAACTGTATGTGTGTGCGTGTGTTGTTGCATATGTATGTATATAGATGCGTGATTATGTGTGTGCGCCTGCGAGTTGTTGTGTAACAGAGCTTTTCAACGACGACAGCAACGTAGAGTAGGAATGGAGCAGGTTGAACGGAGTTTGGACGGGATCTAACTGAGTGCGGAGAGTTAAAAATCGAAAGACAATTATAGCTCAAAGTATTTAGCAAATTACCCCATAACATATAATATAATCTGTTTTTTTTTTTTCTTTTTCTTTGATAAGATAGTATAATAATGTAGTTAGATATAGTATGAATGAGATGATAGGATGGTCAAAGTTTAAAAAAGGCGGGTAATTAATTTGTAAAGAAAAAAGTGATATAATAATTTCATTACCGAAACCTAAGCACCACCCTAAGGTCCGAATTAAAGCGGGTCGGCAGGCACATTACATATTTGCCCTGTTAGGCAAAACACAAATTCCAGTATGAGTAGAGTTCTTTGTTCCCATTACTTCTCTCACCTACTTTTACTTAATTACTTATGTATACCCAACCCAGCTGTATTTTTATTTATCTCCCTCTCCACATTAAATACCTTTACCATTTTTTTCTCTCTTTTAATTAATTATTATTATTATTATTCAAACACCATCATCCCTTCGTCTTCCTCTTTTTCTCTTTTTTCACACACTCCCAACTGTTCAATCCTATAATTGTATGAATTAAATTAAATACAAATAAATAGAAGAAGAAGCTTTGTCTGAATTCATAATCTTCACCGGCCACCAAATATCCATGGCGAGAGTTGTGGCACTAGAAACATCTTCGCCGTCTCCTCCTCCGCCGCCGCCCGCCGGATATGTCACGGTTGACATACCACGCGCCGCCGCATGCGAGTCTCCGACGCTGGCGGAACTTCTCAAATCCGTTAGTGACCTGTCACGGAATGGAGCCCCCGGAGACGAAGACGACGCGCCAGTTACGCTCGACATCAGCAGCGGCGGCGGCGAGAATCCTCCGCCGTCGGTTCCTTTCGTTCTGGCCTTCACCAATCTAACCTACAGAGTGAAAGTCCGCCGCAAACTCGCCCTCCCGGGGTTCCTCCGCCGCCGCGGCTCCGCTCCAGATCCGGTTTTCGGGGAAACCCTTTCCCCGGCGCATACGAAAACGATCCTGGACGAGGTCTCCGGCGAGGCCCGCGACGGCGAAATAATGGCGGTGATGGGCGCGTCGGGTTCGGGGAAGTCGACCCTGATCGACGCGCTGGCCAACCGCATGGCGAAAGGAAGCTTGAAAGGCAACGCCACACTGAACGGAGAGCCAATAGAAACAAGACTGATGAAGGTGATATCAGCTTACGTCATGCAGGATGACCTCCTCTTCCCCATGCTCACCGTCGAAGAAACCCTCATGTTCTCCGCGGAGTTCCGGCTGCCCAGAGCCCTCTCCAAATCCAAGAAGAAACTCCGAGTTCAAGCCCTTATCGACCAGCTGGGGTTGCGCAACGCCGCCAAGACAGTCATCGGAGATGAGGGCCACCGCGGCGTCTCCGGCGGAGAGAGGCGGCGCGTCTCCATCGGTACTGACATCATCCACGACCCGATTCTGTTGTTCCTCGACGAACCCACCTCGGGATTGGATTCCACCAGCGCTTTCATGGTGGTGAAGGTACTGCAGAGAATTGCACGGAGCGGGAGTGTAGTGATTATGTCTATACACCAGCCCAGCTATAGAATCCTTGGATTGTTGGATCAAATGATTTTTCTTTCACGTGGGAAAACTGTCTACAGTGGCCCTCCCTCCAATTTGCCTGTTTTTTTCTCAGATTTCGGACACCCAATTCCCGATACCGACAACCGGACCGAGTTCGCATTGGATCTGATTCGCCAACTCGAGGGTTCACCAGGTGGAATCAAAAGCATGGCCGAGTTCAACAAATCATGGCAGTCATTAAAGAAAGGCAATTTATCAAACACCTTATGTGCATCAGAAACCAATACCAGTACCACCACCAATCTGTCACTAAAAGAAGCCATAAGCGCCAGCATTTCAAGAGGAAAGCTAGTCTCCGGCACCACCGCCACCAAGAACAACAGCAGCCCCACCGCCATGGTTCCCTCGTACGCAAACCCGCCGTGGGTCGAACTAGCGGTGCTGTCGAGACGGTCATTCACGAATTCATGGAGGATGCCGGAGCTTTTCGGCGTCCGCGTGGCGGCGGTGATGGTGACAGGATTCATCCTAGCCACAATATTCTGGCGGCTCGACGACTCCCCGAAAGGGATCCAAGAAAGGCTCGGCTTCTTCGCCTTCGCCATGTCGACCACCTTCTACACCTGCGCCGACGCATTGCCGGTGTTCCTCCAAGAAAGGTACATTTTCATGAGAGAAACGGCCTACAACGCTTACAGAAGGTCCTCCTATCTCTTAGCCCACGCGCTGACTTCCCTCCCGACGCTCCTCCTCCTGTCGCTGGCGTTCGCCGCCGCCACCTTCTGGGCTGTGGGACTCGACGGAAGCTTCCTCTTCTACTTTCTAATCATATTCGCTTCCTTCTGGGCCGGAAGCTCGTTCGTCACGTTCCTCTCGGGCGTGGTGCCGCACGTGATGCTAGGGTACATAATAGTGGTGGCGATTATAGCGTACTTTCTATTATTCAGTGGCTTCTTCATAAACCGGGATAGGATCCCGGCGTACTGGATCTGGTTCCACTACATATCCTTAGTGAAGTACCCGTACGAGGCGGTGCTTCAGAACGAGTTCGAGAATGGGGCAAAGTGCTTCGTGCGCGGGGTGCAGATATTCGACGGGACGCCGCTGGCGGCCGTGCCGGAGGCGATGAAGGTGAATCTTCTGGCGAGCATGAGCGGCACTCTAGGGGTGGATATAACGAGCTCGAGCTGCGTTACAACGGGGGCGGATATACTGCGGCAGCAAGGGGTGACGGATCTGAGCAAGTGGAATTGTCTGTGGGTTACGGTGGCGTGGGGCTTCTTCTTTCGGTTCCTCTTCTACTTGGCGGTGGTGATCGGAAGCAAAAACAAGAGAAGATGATTTTGATTGATCGCCCCCCGCGGCCAAAGTTTCTAGTGACATATGAATTAATGATGAAATTGATGATGAGAGAGGGATTTTGGCGGGAAATTTAAACAGACAGGCAAAATCCTCTTTTGTTTGGTGTTTTATTTTTATTATTATTATTATTATTTTTTTATTTGAGTAAGAATTATAATTTTATCAAGTGGTGATTTTTTTTCTGTTATTGTATTTGTTTTACATAATTACTGTGAATGTGAGGACTCTTGATGATAAGTATCGAGATAATTAAGAGATATGATCTTGATAGATATATTTGGATTGAATGGCATTCGACTTTCACTCGTTTGATACAAGTTTCAATATAGTCAAAGATTTGGATGAAATTATTTGAATCCCCATTTCATTTTTTTTATTATTATTGAAATGATATGCTAGTTTGTGTATAAAATCTTTTAGTTAAAAGAAGGTACATTTCACTTTCTCCCTTCTATTTTGGCTCGGTATTATTTTACTCATTTTTACTCTCAATTACATCGATTTGACTCTCTGTACTTGAAAAATTGTCTCAATGTGACCTTCGCTGTTAGTTGTCAGATATTTGACTTTAACACTGGTTGATCTAACCTTCGAAATTACAAAAAAACAACCTCTCCCAGTTTAAATAATTATTAAAAAAAATAAAAAATAAATAAATAAACAATAAATACAATAAATAAAATAATAAAATATTGAAGACAACGAGAAAACATAGTCAAAAAACAAAAAAAAAAAAATAAACAATAAATACAATAAATAAAATAATAAAATATTCAAGACAACGAGAAAACATAGTCTACGACGCTAGTCACAATTTATTTTTAATTTCATTATTTTTTTAATAATTATTTAAATTGGTAGGGATGACATTTTTGTAATTTTTCAGAGGTCAAAGGTGTTAAAACTAACAGCGATGACTACATTGAGACAATTTTTAAAGTATATGAGATAAATCAATGCAATCGAGAGTAAAATGGAGTAAAGTAATATGTAACCAAAATACAAAAAGAAAAGTGGAATTTACTCTTCAAAATATTATCGCAATATTTTTCTGGTTTAGTCATCCCATATACAATTAATTTCAATGAAACACGGGTCCTACTAATTTAACAAAATCGGGTAAAATTCATTTTCATCATGACTTTTCACTCTGAAATCACGTTATTATTTTAAAATAATACGATACGACCAAAATATATGTTTATGATTAAAAAAAAACAAAATCATTTTAAACATGGAGGAGAACTATCCATCAAAAAATTGAAAGAAATATGTCGACGCTTACGTAGAGAGAGTTTTATCATGCTGCTAATTCAAAAAACTGTGATATGATATTTACGTTCTAATTTTATAAACATCGTTTTATTTCAAAATTTATTTTTCTTTCTAAAACTCCAAAACTCTCACAAAACACCCACAGACAGATAAAACCCTTCCAACTCCTTCACGATAACAAGGTAATTTTCCCGCCGAATTATTTGTATTTTGATTATGTTGTGTTTTCACCTATTGCCTAGTTATTCATTTGACTTGAGTGTCGGAGGGGTTTCCACCGGATTAACCTGTGGCTTAGTTTATGTGTACTTAGCTTTGCAGGTTCAAGACCCAACCGTTCTGCAGTTCCCTCCATGGCAAGGACTTCAACCAAGGTCACCTACTCACGTGGAGGCGATTTCACCGGATCAACCTCGGCTTAATTTACATGTGTTTATCTTCGCAGGTTCAAGACCCTGCCGGTCAGCAGATCCCCCCATGGCAAGGACTCCGACCAAGGTCATCTACTCGTGTACGTGGAGGAATTTCCACCGGATCAACCCCGGTTTAGTTTACGTGTGCTTATCATTCGCAGGTTGACGACCCAGCTGTTCTGCAGCTCCCTCCATGGCAAGGACTCCGACCAAGGCCACCTACTCGCGCAGTGGCGGATCTTTGGGGGGGGGGGCAGAACCGGCCCTGGGTATATAAATTATATATACACAGGGCCGGTTCTGAGGGGAGGCAAAGTAGGTGGTCGCCAAGGGCCCCCGATTTTTTAGTAAAATTTAGAGCCCCCAACTATTTTTATATACACTTTATATATCATTACTTATTTTTAAAATTTATTATATATAATATTGTGTAACATCAATTCTAAAATAAATTTAAAATTAATGATCAAATAGATATTTTTATAATTTTCTTAATCTTGGGGCCCCTAAATATTAAATTTATAATGTCTTAATTACTTATGTTTATTCCTAAAATTTGAATCAATATTCATTAGTTTATTCAAGTTTCTTTTTAGAAAATATTTATGAAGTCTATTTAGTATAAAAATTATATGTCACGTTATGAAGTAAACCAACAAATCATTCGGTTAATGTTGATTTTTTTGTCATATTTTTAGTTATTTAATATTCATATATTTCAAAAAAAAATCGGGGGCGCTGCCCCGAACCCACGTAATCTTTTAGTCCATCACTTTTATGAAATGTTATTTATATTCTTTAAGTATATTCAATTCCGAACACCCTTAAAAAAAAATTATTTTTTCAAATAGGGGGCCCCATTTTGAGTATTCTTTAAATCTCGCCTAAAGCCCCCGAATTCTCAGGAACTCCCATATATATATATTAATACCTTTAAAAAATAAAATGGAACGGCGTTTTGAACTACTTAAATAATTAAATGCAATACATTATTAGAATGATTTGGATTAATTAGTTTTTTTTTTTATGCTTGAAATATGACAAGATTATAATATGTACTATTTGAATTAAAATTTAACAATATAAACTTCTTTTTGCAGTGTTTTGTGAACCTAAAATTTAACCTGCCCCCTAACTTTTCATCCTGGATCCGCCTCTGTACTCGCGTGCAGTGACCTACTCTCGTAATCCTGCTCAACATACTCAAGGTGAGTGATATGACATCAATATTGGTCTTACGATGCATACATCCAACACACGTACCAAAGTAGAAAGCCACAAATCACTCATTAGAACCCAATAAGACAATAATTGAGGGCCATCCACTAGTTTAAGAACAAATAATCGATCTGCAACGGATGGCTGAGCTCGTCAGTAGATGGCCGTTTATAGGCCATTTTCGAGTTCTTGCACATCTGTAATGGCATAATCGATGGTAGGGGACCGTTAGTACAAGCGATGGATCCATTATGGCGCAAGGGCGTGTGTACATTTTTAGGATCGACACACACTAGATTTTTAGGATTTATTTTTTTGTATGCGTTTATACGTGTGTTATATGAACTTCTTTTGTATTTTAATAGATGGAGGGATTGCATTGCTAAGTATCAATAACTTTATACTTGAAAACTTAAACATAAGTAGATTAGACAAAACCTATATTCTACCAATTTTCTCTCTAAATATTTCTGAAATTATTCCCATAATTGTTACTTTTGAATTTTTTCTTACATATTTGAATAAATTCATGAATTCACCACAAATTGGTAGGCAGATCCGGTAGATTGAGATTGAGTAGGTTATGGGATTGGATGCACGTTGGATACCGTGCAGAAGAAAAATAGAGGACTTAAAGATATTAGGGTTGAAGTGTGTATAAAAAAATTGCCCCTTAAATTGACCATGTAATATTTAAGCTTTAAACTATGCAAATAAATTCAAATATAAAGCTCATCTACATAAAACTTAAGAATGGAAATCCATTAATATAATGTGGAAAAAATTAAATAACAAAATGAGACGTTCATTTAATTTAGTTCAAATTTTTATTTGCTTCTCCTCAAACAAGAACAAAATCATGTGCTAAAAAGGTATTGGAGTAATTTTTTTTTTCTAGCATGCTTTTGCTACATTATCCTTCATTACTGTCATGGCTGCTAAGTTACTGCCAACAGTTATTTAACTATTGGAGACAGTAATTTAAATGTTAATTGACTTCTTTTTTTTCTTTAAAAAAATATTTTAATTAATATTACTGTCTTGTTTGCTAAATTATTGTCTTCCAACAGTTATTTAACCGTCGGAGACAGTAATTTAACTGTTAATTGACCTTTTTTTTTAATTTGTTTTTTCTTAAAAAAAATTATTTTAATTAATATTACTGTCTTGGCTCCTAAATTACTGTCTCCAACAGTAATTTAACTGTCTCCAACAGTAATTTAATGTATTAATTAATTTTATCGTCTTGGCCTGCATTTTTGCTGTCTCCGAACGTAATATTACTGTCTCCGACCGTAATATTACTGTCCTGTGCAATAATATTACTGTTTGGGAAAGTAATATTAGTAATATTATTGTTCGGAAAAATAATATTCATAATATTACTGTCCCAAACAGTAATATTTCTGTCTGAGACAGTAATTTAGCAGTCAAGACAGAATATTAATTAAAATAATCTTTTGTAAGAAAAAAACAAAATTAAAAAAAAAAAAGTCAACGCCGGAATCTGGCCGGAAAAATCAAAAAAAATATTAAAATGGGGGTTAATATGATATATTTGTTTAAATCCGGGGTCAATGTGTGATATTAAGAAAGTTAGAGTATAATGGATGAAATTAATATAAATTGTATTATAGAGGGTATTTTAAACTAAAACATGGGGATTGATTTATTTGAAAGACTGCTTTTTTGGTAAACTAATATTTATTTAAGTCCCTTATTATGAGCTTATTTGCCATTTGCCTTTGATTGAATATATACAAGACTTTAACAAAATTAGTAGTCCAATATTTTTGGTTATATATTTATATATATATATATATATATATATATATATATATATATATATCATTCAATATTACACATGTAACTAAATTTATTTAATCACAATCATATTGAACAATTCGATGCGTTCGCTTAAAATTACGTTGTTATCCGAAAATAATTAACTTAATAATTCTGATCTTACAACTAAATCTATATTGTGTTTCAAATTTTAAAAAGCTTTAACAAAGTTATTTTTGCATAACATTTAATACTTTTTCATGTCATTCAATTATTTTTTTTCAGCCGAATATAGTTTCCCCCCAAAAGTTAAAACATCTCATGAGTAAAAAAGATATGAATAGAATACTGAGCAACTCTAATGGATAGATATTAAAATGAAGTATCAAATCAATTGATGCTTGACATATAATTTAATACTTTCAAAAAACTATTGAGTTTCAACCCATAAGTGTCACATACATCATTATTTAAATAAAATTGAATTAAAAAATAATATATATATATATATATATATATATATATATATATATATATATATAATTCCTTATTATGTAGGAATGTGTTGAGATTTTCATCTTTGCCCCATTGAAATTGAGGTTCCTAATATCATGGAATATTTG